CCCCTTTTTTAAATTTTAAGTCAAAACTTAAAATGTGAAACCCTGATGCATTCTATCCATGGCCTGAGATGAAGAGAATAGTATAAGAATAAAAACCAAACTCTTCTGTATTGTTATAAGGCTTGTTTACACAGCCAAGTCAGTGCCCAGTTTGTTAGGGTATGAATTAAAACTCACTAGCTATTCCAGTCTAACTTCACACTATGACAGAAGGCTACTTCACCCAAAGGCATTCCTAGTGCATACTAGAAGTGATCATACCAGGAAATAGGGCTGCCCTAGTTTACTATGTGCTAACCTCCCTGCATAGACAAGCCTAAAGAAATGGAAGATGGACATGAAAAGATGGGTGTGAATGAAATCTTGTTTGCATGCAACACTTCTGGAAAAATGGTTATTTATTTTGTTTCATTCATCTATGACTAATTAGGTGATTCCCGAAGGGTGCATTTCAAGGGAGGAGTGACTTAGATTTGGACTGAATTCACAAGTTTAAAGAAAAGCAGTAATGTTTATTGCAATAAATTAGAAAAGAAACTGAAAAATCTATGTTCCTAATTGGTCCCACCACATTTTTACACAGAGATTAGGAGGGTAGGAGTGGGGGGAGAGGGGGAAGAGGAAACATAAGCAAACTAAGCAAAGGAGTTACTGGGTTAAATGCACGGGTGATCTGCTCCTCTGCTTTCTGTTCCCTGACCTGTACTCGCTACCCAATGTGCCGCTCTCCTTTCTGCTCCCTGCCCTTTTTGCCACCATATTGTCTATCCCCAGCCTAATCTGCCACATGCCACACATGGAAGCTGCCTGTGCCACTTGTGGCACATGTACCACAGGTAGGCCTCCCCTGTTCTAACTTGTCAGCGGGGATCCTGGTTTTCTCTGATTTAAAAAAATCCCCAATTTTTGGTTAAAAAAGGAACCCCAAATTTGCGATTTTCTGTGATTAAAATGAAACATCAATATGTACATATTAGTGATGTTTCATTTAAATCATGGAAAAACGTGGATTTGGGGTTACTTTTTACCAAAAATTGGGGATTTTTTTGAAAATCACAGAAAACCAGGATCCCTGCTTATCAGGGAGCCTAAATTATAATATAGCCAGTTGAGAAATACAGATATGTTAACCTGAATTTCAGTTGTGGTTTTCAGCAGCATTAAATTGAGGAAATGTGAGTAGGGGACAAAACATATATGCTTATTTTGCCCGTGAGGATCTGAAAACAGTTCTTCCTCCAGTCTTTCAGCCCTCTGTGCGGTAAATAGGGAATGCTACAATATTTCACTCAGAGGCATCCACGGCTTTATACATCTCCTTTACAATCACGTCCCATCAACAAGACCTGATACATGCAGCACAGGGAGCAGCCCCAGGAAACAAAAAACAAAGGTGGAAACTTCCTGCTTTTTGTGGAGAGGGAAGGAAGAGCAACAATTTGTAGCAAATTAAACTTTCAATGGTTATGAGCAGTTTGAACCATATTTTAAAGTACAGCAAATAAAAAGAAACAGTCATTTTACAAGTTCAGGAATATTTAAGCAATCCCTTTGAGGAGCTCCTCCGACTGTCCCACTGTTATTAGCCAGTAGTTCTGCCCTTTTATTTTCTTCAAATAAATTATATTTGGAAGACAATTTTGCAAATTAGTTTCATGGTCTGTTTCACTTCTGCACAAAAGTGGATTAAAATGTTGATCACTTTAGCCTGGGTTAAGCTGGAAACAATGATTTGAAAATGAAAATGAGAAAGTATAATTTAACAATTCTGTACAATTCTCCCCTTTGCTCTTAAGAAGAGCAATACACAATTTCATTTGCACACTGATAGCGCAGACAGAAATTGGAAAGTTGTGATTAACTCTGATTTGGCTAGTCATTGCAGCCCTATTACAAATGTATAAGTTTAAAAATGTTCACTTTATAATTGGATAGCATCTTTCAGGGTATGAAAATTTAATTTTATTCCATTGCTGCTTTCATTTTCTCAGTGGACAGAGCCTGCAGGCCACATTTCATAACATGCCTTTCTGAGTCAGAGCATAAAATATTTATGAAGTGTTTATTTAGTGCATTGATAAAATCCTGCAGATCACCTCTGAATCCTAATGGAAATCTAGCTTCTGGATGTGCACAATTAAGCTCTGGAATTTAATAAGGGAATTACAGTATCAGTGTATTGCATTTCAAGCTTACTCTCATTATCTCTCATAATCTGAAAAGAGAGATAAATGACATTATTTTATCATTTTCACTATGCTTAATTCATTAAATGTTTACAAAGGGCTTTGAGGTCATGCGGTGAACAGAGTGAAGTAAAGTTACTTTGAAAATGCCTGTGTTTTTCAACTGTTAGGGACTAGCTACACAACCTGACTGGGCATGAAGACATAGAGCAAGGTGTGCATGTGTGGGGTGAGGGGCTAGCCAGAGGAAGAGGAGTGGTAGGAATAAAGAAATCTGTATAACTTGCAGGGCTGGATTAAATACTAGGTATCATAATCCTTGCCTAGGCCACTGGCTCCTAGAATCATGCCATTAAAGAAAGTCTTCATTTTCAGTAATATTTCCACTGTGCTTTCTTTGCCCAAAACTAGCTTAAGATTACTAAAGAAAACTGGGGGGAAAACCTGGACATGCTAGTATGTAATTAAGGGAGCAACTGACTCGGAGTCTGCGAGTTAAATAGTGAGAGGGGCAGAATGCCCCAAGTTTTCCAATGGGGCACTGATGTCAAGGCACTTTCCTCTGGAGGGTCCTGACAACCCCTCTCTGGCAGATAACTGTGTATACAGCAGGCGAAGAACATACTCAAGTTCAACAGATGCTCTGACTGCTGTGATGGTTTCTGATCGGCATCCTTTTTTCTCTAAAATGGAGGCTGCACGCAAGAAGAGGTGGGACTTCCTATCACTCCTGAGATTGGAGGAAATAAAGTCTCAAGCTGACTCAAGCTGCTGCCCCGGCTTCTCTGGCTAGGGTTCCCAAGCAGCATCACTGAAAACAGGGATGGTACCAAGACTTGAAGTAGAACCCTAAGGGTGGCCTTGTGGTGTAGGGTGCCTTAATCCAGCCCTATAACTTTGGATTTGGCTTGCAATCACGAATATGCTCTTATACTAGCTACAGGTATTTTCATGAAAATGGCCTATACACTGGAGTGAGTTTGGTCAGCAGCATTTTATTTGTTTAAAATGTAATAATTAAAAAGTATCCACTCTCCTCACAAAGTACATACACACACACATTCAATGAAACACTAAACCAAAATAAAAAGCTGTAACTATCATTTTATGTCTTTTTCACCACCAACAGAAGGGTGGTAAGGACAGAGCTGCTTCCTTAAAACCACTGGACCATAATGCACTTCAGCTGTCCTCTGCAACCATCTGTCCCTTCCATTTTTTAAACATTCAGTAAGAGGCCTATAGAAATCATTAAATCAAAAATAAATTAACTGAACAATTATTTTCTTCCATATACACATAATGAAGATCAACTAGTCTAACAAGAGACATTAAAGCAGTAAAAAGATTGCTTTCCAAAGAGCATATGCATCTCTGAGGAAGTTTTTCGTGTGCAATGAGAAAGCTGCCAATTTCATGTCAAGAAGACAGATACACTGCAAACAGCGAGGGACCTACATATCCCTCTTCTCACTACAGGAACACCTTGAATACTGAAAATGCTCAGATTATATAAATACTTAGTAAGTAAGGTCACCGACAAGTTTGTAAGGATCACCCTGTATTTGTGCACCAAAGAAAAACCTGCTGGAGGGCTTGTATTTGATAGAACAGATCTGTCATTGCTCCAGGTAAGCAGCAGAAATCAACCTTTCAACCAGGAAATCAGTACTGACAGTACTGAATCAGTAAAAAGGGTATTTGTGGCTCAAACTCTATTCGAAGGAGAAAAAAAAAAAAAAGCCCTTTTGGAAATATTGTCTCTAAAGGCTCTCTCCCTGCTTCCTGTTAAATTCATACCTGAAAATTTTAGTACCCACTTCTCCTGCAAAGAAAGCAATAAATCAAAAGCCACCCAAGAAACAGAGGCTGATATTTTCATGGGCAATAGTACTTGCTATCATGTCTCCATTTTTCTGCTATGCCCTATACCTGGGTGTCGTTAGAGCAGGTAAAATGAAGTAGACATGCACCCCCATCAAAAACATGTTGGGCTTCCATATTAACATTTGGATGAAGTATTAGGGCTGAATCATAAGCAACAGTGAACCAGCTGTTCATATTTATTTACATGGATCTAACTCACTGGCTCAAATACCAAATAGGTGCAAAAGAGTTTGATGACACATAGCTATAAACAATTTCCTGGGTCTTATATAGGATCAGTCACATAACCCAGGCAATGTGTGTGCCTATGGAAATATTCCATTTGAGCACACGCAACATATATTTGCATTTAAATTAGAAGCATGTACTTAAGTTTGAAAATTTGGCCCCATCTTTATTCTGTCTCTGCCTTTGTGCATGATAATATGCATTATTTGTCTAGGGGAAAATACAGTATCATTGCTGAAAAAACAAATTAGAATTGCCTTCTAGCACTCCAGCCTTTGTAAGCACATAGGTGAATGCTGTTTAGCACCCTTTAAATTAGCAGTGAATAGAAATTTGATTAGTATCCAAATGAAACATTTCATCATTTATTGATTCTCATAGTTGCAATATTTTTATGCATCAGGTTTTAAATGGTACTCATCTGTAGTACTGCTTTTTGCAGCATATAGCAAAAGCCATCATGTGGGTCAGATAATTTCCTGAGAGAATTCATTTCTGTGGGTGCATTCATACTTTGCTCACCAACCACCGCACCTCCAGTGTACATCTCTGGGAATTTCACTAGGCTATAGTAACCTGTGGTTGGTTGTTGAGTCACATTAGATCTGCACAGGATGCTCAGATTATAGCTTTTCTTTATTCTAAATTGCAGCCTGGATGTTTTGACTTCAAAATTAATACTTGGAATAACATCCTTACCGTGGTAGATACACCTCCACTTTCTGTTTTTTCACAGAGCTAGCCCATTCCTCAATCAACTGGGCTTTGACCAGCGGTTCCAGGGTGACCAGTGGAACTTCCTGTCTGGAAAGAACGATCATCATACTTATCTCATCCCCCTCATATGGTATTTCCAGAACTTGATAGATGCCTCCAGCTTCGTTGGAGCCATCACTAAACTCTCCTGTAAGACAGGAAGAATTCTATCAGAAGCATTTCCTTTGAGCTCTGTCTTCACTCAACAGACTTGGGAAAAATATGAAAGGGAGGTTTTGTGCTACGCAATATTGATAACTGCAGGACAAAACAAGAATACTGCGGAGTCTATTCCATACAAGGTCTCCTATCATGATCCTCATTTCAGTATTCAATTATCAAAAATGCATCAAATACATTCAGAAGAATGCAAACTAGGAACCTTAAAATTATCAAACATACCTTAAGCTTAATACATGTTGCAATGAATACATGTATGTTGATAAAAATGACTTACTAGTTTACTACACCTGCTCACTCCTCCATCTGTCCAAACCCAGTTTTGTTAGTCTACTGGATATATAGCTATATAGCTGTTTATTTCCTCTTCTCCAATATCACTGGGCCAATGGTCAGCTGGCACAGCAGTCCTGTGCTCAAGCTCATGTTAATTTATGAGCTAGGTATTCTACATTTTAGAAATATGAAGTCATACATACATCTATTTTGAACATTTCCATTTCTTTGATATATGATAACCGAGAGCTACTTTTAGGCATGATAACACATGACACCTTCCATCAGAATATGATGAAATAAATACTCTTCATAGATATAAAGTGGCTAGAGTTAGTGGGCCAGCTTTTCCAGATTAGGAAATCACACACAAAGCTAAAATGAACAAGCAAACCAGGTAACTACATATTTAGGTGGATAGTTACAATGTTAGTGGGCATCTGAGGCATCCTCCTGTGGGTTAGTAGTATTTAGGTTTGCAGCTGCCAAACTATATGCGCAGAACTGTGTATGACACAATATGCTTAAATCACAATTCTTTCTTAATTGCAGAAATGTTAAGTGCTCTAAATGATCTGCTTAGATCTCAGCTCACCATAGTAAAATTCTCCCTGTTGGTACATCATCGGAATCTGCACTTCACTTTCATCATCTTTAGTGAAAGAGAAAGTTCTTGTGTTTTCAGGCCTGAACTGAGACTTCCAGTTTCCCTTAAAGTAAACTGCATTGATGAGGGCCAAATGAGTCAGGGCACTAAAATCCCTTGATGACACGAAATCTTTGATCATATCTGTCAGAGGGAAAAAAAGGGGGGGAAAAGGAAAGAGTGCTTCAATTTGCATACCAAACTGAACATGAAATCAAAACTTTTTCAGCTTGTAAAATGCAAGAAAAAAATAAAAAAAAATATTACACTTCCTTATAATGTCCAATTCAGATATTCCCAGTAAATCCCAAATTAAACTGTCATTCTTTTGGAAACCTAAAGCACTGTTGGGGTATGTAAACCTTTCTGTCAAGAGCACAATTGCTTCTGAGCATCAGTTTTGAAACATATGCTATACTGAAAAGAAAATGTAGTTCAAACAATTAATCTTTTTCCTAGTGCTACTGTATGGTTCACAGATTTCTTCTTGGGGTTGAGCAAAACTTCTTTGGACTTTGGCTCCAATTCAAAGCTGTAGTTAAACATACATTTAACTTTAGAAAACATAAGTAGCCCCAGTTAGGTCTATACTCTATAGTAACGTGTAGCCTAATCTTGAGGCCATCTCAGGGTCCCAACGATTTCGAGGTAAAAGCATAATTATAAACACTGTAAGTCCTCAGCATTGGCCCACTGACATTTGCTCATAGAAAGGAAAGGAGCAAAGATATCTTATATCTGCTCTAGTCATGGGAGGTCCTTTAGTTGGGTATAGCAGCTGCTCTGCCCACACTCCTGAATCAATCATCCCAATCAGAGTTCATTATCTGTTACCTGCAGCTGATTGGAAACCACTTGTTATTGGTAACCTAATTTCAAGTTTCTACTTCTGAAAGAACAGTAACCGATCTAACTCAATGCACTGAATTTAACAATTTCCCTCAGATGAGTTCCTTGCATCCCTTTTGTGGCTAACATACTAGTCAATGCTATGAAGGCATTTGTTACTCATGTTGCCATGTAATGTGTGAAAATGAAGGCTCCCTCCAATCTGGCTACTGTTTCCCAAATGTAAGGTTTAAACGCAGAGGCAAATTCTGCCTTTGGATGCACATGCACGGCTCCAGGGACCAGTCAGTTGATGACAAGGTTGTTCAGAAGAAGACAGAATTTGGTTTATGATATTCTAGGGTTGCCCATGTCTCTTTTTAGCCTTCATTTTCTACAAGGTGCTATCCCCTGACATCTCATTTTTGCCAATGTTTTCCAACCAAATCTTGTTAATGCACATTGCTGCATGCTAATTCGAATACTCCTCACCACAGAAACCTTAGGCAGCTACGTCTTTGCTTTTATACAACCTGCTTTACTTATATTATTCAGTTTTATGAATGCAGCATGTTTAACGTGCCATTAATGAAATTCTGCCTGTCTTCTGTGAGACAGAGAAAAATGGTCTCTTCCACCTTCAACACAGCAGCCAAACAAAACGTGAAATCTAGTGATCGAGAGACTCTAGGTCAAGGGACAACTTTTGCCTTAGTCAGCTCAATGTGTCTCTACCAGATGCTGACTGCCAGCTTGGTCAGCACATAGGATGCTTGCACAGCAGGCGATAGACAGGGGATCATGCTGCATCTTTTAAAAGGAAGAAAAATATGCATCTCACTGTGCATTCACCCAGACTTGAGCCATCTTGTTCTGTGCCAGCAATGAGAGACTCAGGTGCAGCACGAACAATGCACTAAGCCACAGAAATCGAAGAACCAGACAGCAGAAGCAGGTTTTTGCCTCTCAAATGTAACATATCCCGTGACATTTAGAGGGGGGGTGAGCTCGAGTGGTTGAATTCAAAAGTAGAAAGTGTCATCATATGGATGTCTTCCCACTTTTTGCCACATATTTTCATATTTTTTAAACATAATATTACATTGTTTTCTTCTCATTACAAATCTAGCTGCAGGTTCTTAAAGTCTCGCTTGGTGAGATGTGTTGTATAAAAAGAGATTTTGACCTTAGCTTCAGCTTTACAATGGTGCAGCTGAAACCAGAATCTGGCCTCTATTATTGTATTAATGTACAGCTTAATATTTTAGAGGTATGTTCCAAATAAAGAAAGAATCAGGAAAAAAAAATGTTTTATCTCCACCTTTTGCCACAAACACTCAACTTTTACACAGCTACTCCAAGCATGCATAAAACCAATCACCCAATAAGTGTTCCTTATGTGCACAGAACAGACTATTACCATACGGATCTGAAGGGATTCATGTACTTTTTTCTTCTCTTTTACCAAAGGCCTCTGTTCACCTTAATAGCAATTTTATTAATGGTGTAATACTATTTTTAGCTACATTTACATGTTACCCACTGAAGTCAGTAGACAGTTGTGTGCAGATCTAGTGATAACGTTTAGTTGCAAATTTATCAAAATTGCCTTTCATTGTGTTTACTATGCATTCCTTGGTGTCTTGGGACTGATTGTGGGAGGCAGTGAACATCCATGAATCCAAGTGACTTGTACTGAGCAAGCACAATTCTCATTTATCCCAACCTCAGGCCACTGATCTGCATCAACATACTCATGTAGTAACAAGCAGCTGATAAAGAAATTATGAAGAACCAATTTCTTTTTATTAACTAACTGCATTAAAATACAGAAAATAGAAAATCAATTCAGAGTGGCTACTATTAAGGTGTCACTACTTGCCAATAAATACTGCAGTTATTTCCTGTTTCATTGGCAAAAACCAGTTTCTGAGATATACGTATTGTGTGGTTAGTGATAACTAATGTTGGCTTTTTAAAATGGACTGCCACTGTACAGAAAAAGTAAAGAGAACTGATGCTAGTAATCTCTCTAAGAGAGAAGATACTTTAATCTTAAATGAAATAGATAACAGGCAGGAAAGAAATTCTGCAGTATTGCTTTGGAATCACAGAAATATTTACAGGAAAGTAATAAAAGAACCACAGAAACTTACTGTTTGTATGATTTTCCACCCACTTATTAATGTGACTGGCAACAGCTGCACTTTGACCAAAATCTACGTTTTCTACTTCAGCCTTGAAGTATTTTTTCACCAACTCCAAAAATTTGTCGCTGATATGAAATCCATTCTGTACATAGAGGGAGTTGGCAATTTTCATCACATACTGGCTTTCCTCACTATTTACCGTATCAGAAAGTTCCTTCAAGAAAGAAAATTCTTCACCTGCAGACAGAGATCAAAAGTACATTCAGTAGGACTACTGTATCAGGAAAGAAAATTATTACATACATTTCCCTTTAAAGATTAATGACGCCATTTTAGCTTCCAGTACAGAACATCATTTTATTTTATTTTATTTTTTGTTGTTTGTTTTAGCCAAACATGTCAGAGGTCAATGAAAAAAAGCAACAGTGACCAAGATGTACTGTCAGATTATTGACAATAACTTGCGCATTCTGTCATAGATCATTTTGTTTCAGATCTCGAAGATGTAAAACAGAGTGCGTGGCACTGATTCCTACCTTAGTTTTCTACTGCCCACAACAGAAATCATTAGTAAGCCATTTTCCAAAGCCACCATACGCTACACTGTCAGTTGTAATCCTTTCAGCTGTCCCAGTATCAAAAGGCATCATTTTCATCTTCTCTTGTGTATATCCATCCCTAATGCATCTAAATGTCAATAGTTTATGCCTTGGTTAAACAAGAAAAACAACCCATGAATTTCAAACTAAATTCTTCACTGAGAGCTCTGCAAAGCTTGGGTCTTGAAGACTTCAGTTAATCTCAATTGTCAGGACAATGCCTGGGGTCCAACAGAAGCAGGCTCTTTAGGTAACCAGAGCTCAGACAGGCAGTGACAGGCTTCATAAATTAAAAATCCCAGCAACCTGAATTGCTCTCCGAGCCAAAGCAAAAGCCAGGAAAGCATGTGGAAAGAGATGTGCCCTGTTTAAGATCACCTGCACAACAATTTGAGCAACCTGCTGTTTTCTACCTGAAGTCAAAGCTTCTGGGTAGTCTGTAAACGAAACTCCAACTAGTGAGCACTGCAGTAATTCAGACCAACCTGGAAAGAAGCTGGGGGTGCAATCTGCACCAAAAAATGGTACATAGTCTGGTTTGCAGTTTCTTCACTTAAACTGTAAATCTGGTCACCATTTGCAAGTGCTTTAGAAGCAAAGTGTAGAACAAAATAGCAACAAATACCTGCACAGAGGCAGACATGATCTATGTGGGATGCTGTGCCAAGTGACCACTAAAAGGCCAGTGGATGTATTTATATTACACATACCTGTACAGCAAAACTTTTTACTCCTTATAGGCTCCACCAAAATGCCCCTCCACCATTGCTTTTACAAAGGCCCTGCTGATGGGATTCATTCACAGGTTTCCAAGCAAGTGCCTGTGCATACTGCCTTCCACAACTACTTTCACACCTTTGAATGGATGCTGTCCCACTGTTGTCATGTAAAGGGGCACACAGTTCATACACTTAGCAACAAGGAACCATGTAGAAAGGTCAAATAGATTTACTTTATCAGAGCAAAATCTATGAACAAAATGTTATGGTCAGTTACATCTGTGCAGAAACATTAGTTATGTGGATGTAACTGCATGTAGGGTATAATTCAATATTAGAAGCAACTGTTTTGTTCTGTGTAAAGGAAAAAAATGGATTTATTTTTTACATTATTATTTTTCTGTCTTTCTATTTCAACTTACAAGCAGTGCATACAATACATGGTATCTGCCTATCTATTGTAGACTTAAGTGGAAGTTTCCTGACTAATGATACTAAATATTTACCCCAGCAAACCAGCTGTTTAAACCTTGCCTATTATCCCAAATCATTTAGTTCCTGTAAAGAATTACAGAATAGTAACACAAAAGATACTTGCATTAGATTAAAAGTAAAGTCATATTTGCAATATTACACAAACTGAATTTCAAGATTTATTACATTTCAAATGGAATGACGAAGAAGTTTTCATTCCTTCTCCTATACCAGGGATGTCAAAACTTATGGCCCATGTGCTGGATTCAGCATGTGTCTGAAGGCGATTTCAGCAGAGCTTGTAGAGGGGCCAGAAATTCAGGGGCAGGGCTTACTGCCAAAATCCTAGGCAGAAAGTCACATTGTCAATGCATGTTGGCAGCAAGAGGTCAGCATCAGCTGCATTAATTCACGGAGGCTGCTGCTATATCTGAGCCACTCTGCAAAGAGCCCTGTGGTCCAGATGCAGCCCAGGGGATAGGGGGAGTTTTACACCCCTGTCCCCAATAATACTGTGCAATTCTATTACTTTGATTTCCAAACTGCTTTACAAATGCTGTACTTTAACAAATGTACTGATCCATCCCAAAAGCTTTTTGAGGCTCTCTAGGTGAATGTCATTGCTATTTTACAAAGGGAAGCCAAGGTGAAGAGTTAAAATGATTTGCTTAAGATTCTGGTGTCTTCTGCTGTCAGGGCCAGGATTAGATTTCAGGCCTCTGTAGCTCTCAATCTTATGCTGAATTCACTGGAAGATGCTTTAACCTGCTAGGATTATCAATTAGGATGTCATGAAACCTACTGACTAAATAATGATCAATGAACAAAGCCTTGACATTTCCATGGTTGTTCAATAACCTCCAACTCTTCTTTTAAAATAAAAATACATAGAGAAACTCAATTAGAAGACCTTACCATTTTTCAAGCTGTCAAACCCCATGGCATGTCGAATTTCTTTTAAGGTGGACCCGTGGGCTCCAAGCTCCACCATTCCCATGGCAATTGCAATGCTCAGAGGAGAGAAGAGAATATTCTCATCTACTCCTGTAGCTCGCAGCTGATTGTAAACATTCACAGAAAACTCTGCAACGGTTTCATCAGGGAAATTTGTGTTGAAGGCCTTGCTTTGCAAAACAAGCAAAGACAACAGTCCAAGGATGTACATGTCTGGCACGTTTCAGATCTGCAAAATACATTTTATAGGAGATGAGTTCACTTAATTTAAGAAAGAACAGGATCATTTAAAAGCACAGGGGAGAAGAACATACCAAGTAAAGTCAGTTATGTTGTTTTGTGCCCTAGGTGAAAAATATAATTTAAGTATTTTAACGTGGTGGCAGAGCAGCTTAAGACATGTGGCTCCCCAGCTCAGTGATTGGCCATGAAGAGACCCCGAGTGCCCCCCTCAGACCCAGGAGGAACCAGTCATCGAGCCAGGGGGCAGGGGAAAGGGACGGGTCCCCTCATGTGCTCCACGGCTGAAGTGGACTGGAAGTGCTTCTGGTCCACTTCTGGGTCTGCTGAAGAGCATGCTGGGGACCCCCCATGCTCCCAGAAGATGCTCTATCTGCCCCACCATCTCAGCATTCATGAGCTGAAGTAGAAAAAACATATAAAGCTGAGACTATGTCCAAATTGTTGAATCTCTCCAAATCGAATCAGAGGCTTCTGATTCAATTCAGAGAGATTAATGGGTCTCCTGATTCTATTCGGATTCGGAGATTCAGCCGCTGAATTGGGCCGAGTCTCCTCTGAATTGAATCAGCGACCAAAGCTTCACATAGCCCTACTAGTCATGTCACAACCTTGTGTACTACTGGCTATAGTAACTGGTGTGGCTTAACCACACTAGCTCAATGGGTCACTAGACTCAATTGTAGAAGCTGATACATATAGTCCAATGTTGTAAACTTCAGATTACAACATAAAACCACAGTCACATTTATTTTGTGTTCTTTTGCTTTTGAAATTGGCCTACAGTAGAATAACACAGACCCTTCTGTCTGCAAAAGTAGTAAGGCCAAGAGAGACAATCAAAATAGTTTTTGAAGAATAAGAAAAGCTTTTCATCCAAATAGGACCTCTCACCCCACCTCTTCAATAGCTTTTTCCCCCCAAGGTCCTGTTAATTTATCTTATATTATGGCAGTTCAATCGATGGCACTGAAGTACAAAATTCTGTAGGTCTGCACCAAGGAAGCTTGTCCCATTGTTTAAAAAGCAATCTAAGGATGTGCATTGCTGTCCAAAACTGGTGAAGGTGTGCATTCTCATATTTAACTGCTATGCTAAGAAAAGGATATTACATGGTGGCTTGGTTACAAACCATGTGTCAACTCGCTGGTGAGAGATTTTGAATGGAAAAAAATGAAAAAGTTAGTGAAAAACATGGATCATTGATTAAGTGGAAAGAAAAAAGAGCTACCTGTTGGAAATAAATTAACTGTTAGTCAGTGTCTAGTTTTGCCAACTAGATGCAAGTAACCATGTGGTAATCTCTAAAGGAAGGGCCAGCTGATTTTTATTTTGCCAGAAATATCCTTTAGGGAAAATTCCAACAGAATGGGGACCTAAGGAATTCAGTAAAATGCTACTACCCAGATTTTCTGTCAGGTCACCCACAACCCAGGCTGAAAATGCTTCAATAAAGAGCATTGCTGCCAGCTCTTCCACCTGTATCTTAAGTCTCATGATGCCAGCTGCCAGTTTGACGTTAGAATTTGAGAATCTTAGTTTTCATGAAAAAATGCAAGTTTCTAGTCCTGACAGCTACAGCAAAATACTTCCACAAACTAAATCCCTTAAAACAAAAATGAGAAGGCAAATAAAAGATAAAAGACCTGGAAAAAAAAATCATGATTTTTGGGGGCCTGAATAGATTTCTGAATCTGAGAACTGGCAATTACTGAAGTCATGCAATTTGTCTAACTATTCCAGACAGTTCATGATCTCTGTGTAATAATACTTAACATTTAGATAGTACATTTTATCTTCAAAGGACTGAACAAGCATTATCTAACTGAATCACACAGCACCCCTGAGTGGTACAAAATTAAGTATTATTGCCCCATTTTATAGATTGGAAACCATAGGAAGGATCAGGGTGCATGCGTGTTTTGGCAATGACTCTGATGCAGTCACTGTTTAGTGCTTTCTAACCCCCAGGCACAGATCAGATTTTTGCTTTGTTTTTTCAGTGAAACTGTGAAATACATACACTTGTTCACAGGTGAGGGAACTGCACTATAACTGCTCACAAAAGCAGGTCTTATTGAGGCTCTAAAAGAGTTTATGCATATTAGCCAAGCATCCTCTTCATGCATCCTTACTGACTCTAGGTTAAATAACTGTATGGGACACTGAGATGGGACAAGGTTCATAAACCCCTCACACTTGAAGTTACCTGTGCTTCTTAATCATTTCTTGGACAGTAACCAGATCAATCATTCTCCCAGTACTTCAGAAGATATCAAAAATCTCCGCTGTAGGCTCTTTTATTTCACTTGCTATTTGCTTTAGAATGATGCAGAATAAATCATCTGAGCCTGGAGCACTGTCAGTTTTGAATAGTGCTTATGACTTGACTACCTATTTTAGCATAATCATAAAATGATCTAACATTTCTATCTCCTGAGGAAAACGTCTCCCACTCTTTGAGGCACAACCTGCATGATTTCTTTCATGAACACTGAGGCAGTGAATTCATTCAGGTCCAAATGAATATCAGCTTTATCTGTCATGAGCTTTCCAGTTGCATCCTTTAATGACATTAAGGATCTCATACCTGCCTGTTTGCTACCTGTTGTTCTAAGAAGCGTAATGTTTCTTGAGCTTACCAAATAATTAATAGATTTATCACTGCTATCTCTGCACTTCAGGCTTCTTTATCTGAGCGAGAGAAAGAAAGTTAGAGACAGAGAAAGTGAATGTTTATATGTCTCTGGAGACTGGCCGGTATTATTTCACAATCCCACAGCCCCCTTGAGCTAAGATCACAACAGGGCAGAATAATCTTAATGTTGTGGCTTCCTGTTTGAAGTCTCTGGGTTTATCTTGTGAACCACGTTTACACACCTAAGAGTGCTAACATCATGTGTTACCACATGGCATCCTTGTAAGGCTCTTGTGGTTGAAAAATCACTGTGCTGTACAAACACATAGTAGAAAACAATCTAAATGCATGATGGGACAAGGACTGGGGGCCACACGGCAGGGAAAGGGGGGAGGAAAAGAGAAAAAATAGAAGCCTCATAATTTATATTTTAGATGTGAAAAATTGTGGTACAATAAGATTGTTTTGTCCAGGACCCATAGGAAGTCTGTGACAGAGACAGGACCAAAATCCAGCTCTTCCAAGACCCAGGACATAGTTTTAAACAGAAACCCATCTTTACTCTTGAATGATGAGCTCAAAGCATTATCCTACTTCTTAATCCTGTCCCCCAGTTCTGGGAAACAGCCATATAGTGGTCTAAACTGAAAAACACGTGAGTTATAGAACGGGAATATAAAAAAGTGTTCTGCTGAGCAGGAAGGGGGGTGTAACTAGTTGATTCCATGCCACTGACAGGGGTAATTAGTTTGTTGCACTAGCATAATCTAATCTTTCATTTACAAAAAAGGAAGAAGGATATTTCCAAACCTTTTTGTTTGTGAAGACAGTTTTTCAGCACTTTCTCATCTATGCTGCAGCTCAGTAGGTTAAAACAGCATGGAACAAGATACACGTGCATAAATGTCAATACTTAGGTTAGATCTAGGTAAATGCAAATATTTTTAATCAGGTTAGATGGGGGACCAAAAAACCAAAATAAAATAAATCACATACAAAACAAAAAACCTGCCTGCATTCACTCCCCTTACTTGAGGTCCTGGACTTCTACAATATTTTTAAATAGCTATTTTGCTAGCCAGAGTGAAGGGTTGATTTCTTTCTGCTTTGTAAAGGAACTACATCGGATTCCTATCCATTACATGGCCAGGCACTGTATAAGGAGAGCAGTAGTGTGACTTCATTCAGTCTTGATCATTAAAATATGTTGTTCTTACTCATATTTTGAGCTAAGCAGTATTAATATATTAAAGCAAAAATTAGATGACTATATTTAACTTAGTAAATGAATGGGATACCTGGACATTTTATACTCAGCTTATCCTGACTTACTTTATTGCAACCAGAAAGGAAAACTTCAATTGATACATAATTTTGTCCACCAAAATTTTGATGTAGAGGTTTTCAAGTTTCTTGTTTACCCTCCTTTCGGCACATCTGAGGGAAAGTTAAGTGCGAATTTACAAACTATATTTAAGGCTACATATAGTAGAGATGTTAGAAATGATTCAGCCTCCAATTAAGGGGAGCAGCCACATTAAGCAAAGTACATGAGCATTTGCTTATGTCCGACTGAAGATGACTGAAATTAAGCATGAGCTAAAGTGCTTTGCTGAATCATGGCTTTTGATGTGAATGGCCCAGATCTATAACTAAGTATTACTTCTTACAAACATATTTTTAAAAACAACAAAAGCTCCTTTTTGTAAAGAAAACTAATTCCCTGGCTGCACGGACGAGTGAGTAGAACACTATAAAACAGGCTAGACATTTCCTGGCACTGCCCTTGTCAGACACAATGACTAAGTTGAACATTTAAAAAAAAATCACTTTTATCTATTTAACTTGAGAACTGGAGCCAGATCGCAGAGTACTAACATGTGTGCCACTGGCTTTCATGCTGAATTTTGCTACCTAAGAGTCTGGCCCTTGATTATCATTCCGGCCATAATTGTGATAGCTGCTCTATTTCTTTCTTGCTTAAGGCTACAGCCCTTTCTCTTTCTGGTTTTAGACCTCCCCTAGTCCTGATCCTGGGCCTCATCCACTGAACTGCTGAGTGCCTTAAGAGTGGTACAGAGCATCTTTAACACACAGTGATTTCCACAGTATTCAAGGGCACTCTGTATCTTGCTGGATTGGGACAATATTGAATTAGAACACAGTCCTGAATTGACTGTACCAGATCCACAAGCATACTATAAGTGAAGGAAATGAAGCTGAACATTATCTAATCTATGCCTGGGAAATTAAACAACTCCCATGAGTATCATCAGCCTTTTTAGATGGTACACTTATCCTTTGAGCCATCAACATTACAGGCTCTAATGCCACCTAACAGTCACTCTGCATTAACAGCAGCCAGTTAAATGG